CGTGGCTCTCAAGGCCTGAGGCAGTGGCTCTGAACACCCTGATTCTCCTCACAGGGGGTCATCAGGCCTTCCCTTGGGGGCTCTGGAGTGGTATGTGTGCCCTGGAGCATCTGCCTAGGCCCAAATACTCCCTCCCTGAGTGGAGCCTCAGGCAAGTACTTCCCCTCCTTGGAAACCGGTCTGGGGTGCCAGCGGTGCCCTGAAGGCCCTAGCAGAGCACAGGTGGTAAGTGCCTCATGCCCGATAGTGATTACGCTAGCTCTGAAGCCTCCTGCTATGCAGCCATGAGCTGGACACGGTGGCTCTCATTGCCTCAGGCCCCACCCAGAGGCAGGGGTCCTTGTGGGGTGGGCAGGCCACAGAGGTGTTTGGCTGTCCTCAACCCTCCACAGGCAGCATAGACGCCCACAGGACTGAGAACCTCTCCGCCTGGCGTGGCTGTGGTGGCCAACTGCAGGTGCTGGGTCTCTGCTGCCTTCTAGCTTCTGCTCCCTGCTTTCCGTCCTCCTGGGACCCAGGCCCAACCTACCGGAAGCACTGGGTTGGGGGAGTGGAGTAGCCAGGGCTGAGGATGACTCAGGGCCTAGCTGTCTCCAAGGCAACCCTGTCGCCTAGCAATGGCAGTCTCCTGGTAACGGTTGTCTCCTAGCAATGGGATATTTTCCCAGTCCTGGCTGGAGTCTGGCAGTTATTTTTAGCTCAATTGCAAATCAGTCGCAACTGCATTTTTGGCTCCTGGAGAAGATGCAAGGTGTGTATGTGTGTATTTCTTGTCAAAGGGAGGAAAATATCCCAGCTACAGGAAACGTGCCCCATGTCCCAGGGTGCAGGCTCTTCATAGGTGGCAAGGCCAGATTCTGCTTGGGCTGGGGGTGGGGGAGTGGGGTGCAGGTGAGCCAGAGGTTGTACAGGCTGCCTGGAAGAGTTGGCAGATATGACCCTCTCCCTGACGGGGTCTCTGGGAGGGCTGGTCACTTCGGCACCCTGGGGCTCCCTAGGTCAGGCTGGCCAGGGTGATCCAGGCCCGTGTTCATGGTACCATCAGAGCACATCACTGGGTGACCCAGTTTCTGGAGAGTTCCTGCCACCCCCTGGCCCTCAGCTGTGGAAACTGTACCTGCTGTCCCTGGCCCCCAGGCCCAGGAGTGCAGGTGGTCCTGGCTTCAGGGGTCTGGGTGACCATAGTCTTAGCTGGTGACATGGGTGGGGCTGGCCTCTGCTCTGCCCACATCTCTCCCTCTTCCCTGCTTTTGCTGAAGTGGGAGTCAAGGTGGGAGGTCTTGGGCAAGTGGAAGGCTTGACCTCTCTCCCTGGGCTTCCTCACTGTTTCCACAGGGGCTCTGTTCGCTGCCCCCAAACTCCTCTAGCCCAGCGGTCGCCAACCGGTGGTCCGTGGACCACTGGTGGTCCGTGGGGTCCGAAAGGTTGGCGACGCTGCTCTAGCCGATGGGCTTGGGGCTGGCCCTGCCTGCTTCCCACTGGCCACCTTCCTGGTTCCTGGCCTTGGGGCCCTTACCCTCTGTTCCCCGAACTTGGGGTACTCTTCTCTGGCTTTTGCGTTGCTCCCCCAGGCCCCTATCCAGGCCAGATCCTGCCTTGTTCCTTGCCCGTGTCCCCAGCACTGCAGGCTTCCTCCCCTGCTGGAGGCCAGTGCCACCTGTCCCAGGCACTGTTCAGGGCAGGGCTCACCTCAGACACTGCTCTTTGTCCCAGCATCAGCTCCAGCCACTTAGCAAGACCTAGGTTTTATGTGGGGATGGAGAGAGTCCTTTTTGAAGGGTCAGGGCACCGAGGATCTGGAACTGGGAGATGCAAAGGAGCTCCCAAACTGAGCATAGACATCGGGATTTGCCTGAGGTTTTGGGATATCATTCATTCACTCACTCACTCGTTCACTCATTGGCACACACACTCATTCTCCAGATATTTACTGGGCACCTGCAGTGAGTCTGGTCCTGCACACACAGCAATCAAGGCCACACATGGCCTTCTGGGCTCCCGGTCCCACAGGCAGCAGAACTCCCATGGCTAACACCACCAAAGTGAGGACAGGTGGCTCCTGTCTGAGTCTTCTGTGGGCTACTTCATCGCCTGGCCCCTCAAAGAAGAGGCTGGGGGAGGAGAAGGGGAAGCCTCGGGAAGGGAGATACAGCTCATGGGTAGGCATGTGCCCCTTCTGGAACAGGTTAGCTGTTCCCCTCCCTCCCTTGCACCCACAGATACTGACCCATTATGGGGGGAGAGGGGATTGAGGTGGGGAGCCAGGGTCCCTAGGCTGGCTGAGGGTGCGTCTGAGGCTGTTTCTTCATACTGCCACTGGAGGGCGCCTGGAGCCCACTCTCTGCCTCAGAGGCCAGGGGGACAGGCCCATGCCCCAGTGACTAGCCAGCGGTAAGTGGACCCACGGCCTTGGCAAGGGCAGCCCTCGCAGCTAATCTGGTGCTCTCTCCCTTCCATCTTCAGCACCTCTTTTGCCTTATAGTGTCCAGCCCCAGGCCTTGACTACCCTTTTTTATTTTTAATTGGATAAAATACACATAACATAAAACTTAACCATCTTAACCGTTTTTAGCTGTACAGTTCAGTAGTGTTTAAGTACCATCACCACCGTTCATCTCCAGGATGTTTCATCTTTCCAGACTAAAACTCTGTCCCCGTCAAGCAGTAAGTACTAACTCCCCATCCATATCGTAGTGTATGTCATAATTTTCTTCCTTTTTGAGGCTAAATCAAATTCTACTGTATGGATGGATCACATTTTGTTTATCTGTTCATCCATTGATGGATACTTGTGTTGTGTGTGGCGAGCCGGCACGGCCATGGCATACTCAGCCCCACGTTGGGCACCTTATGTGCCGCGCCAGCTCAGCCGGGTTCGGTGAGCCTGAGTGGGGGTGGTGAAGCGTTGAGAAAAGACAGACAAGAGAAGAAAGCTGGGTCTGGGTGGGACGCTGTTCTCTCTGATGGAGAGCTAGCGACAGCACCACGGACTACAAGCCGTGTCTTTATTTTATAGCCAGATTCCATGAGACAAAGTAAGGGCGTGGTCAAGATGTTGATAACATTCTCGTGGGTTTCGATCCTACTCAATTACATGCACCTGAACTCTATCAAGCCCACATCACTCAGGCACGTGGGGCCACGTGTTCGGACCATAGGTTCAAGCTTACAACCATAGCTGTTGGCTATAATTGTGCTGGGAGGGCTTTGCCCTCCAAGCTGGGCCTTGCACGTGGCCATGAGAGGCCTGTGCCCTCTCATTAGTCCGAGGCTTGAACCTGTCCAAACACTGTAGCCGCTCTCCACAGTTGTGTCCACCTATTGGCTATTGTGTAGCTGGTGGTTCTCATCCCACCAGCTGAGCCCTGTAGGCGTCTCGCCCTTCTTTGGCGTGGGAGGGCCCTGGACCAGGGGAAAGGGCAGTGGTCTGTTCATTTTGGTTGCTGCTCGAACCCCTCCCCTTCCCCTTGGGCCATTTGCCCTCATCTGTCAGGCCCAGGGGTAGCAGGAGGGCTGGGGTTTGGGGACAGTGGGGGTGGAGAGCTCACACCACAGATGGCAGAGTCTATGCTGGTTCCCAAAGACCCCGCTAAAGCTCTCAGTGACCCCAGGGATCCGGCATGAGTTTTGAGTTCTGGCCTTGTGGCTAAGGCCTCTCTGAGCGGACCCTGAGGGTTTCCAGGGCTTTTGAAGGCCGGGTCCACTTGGCCCCACATCAGGGTCTTTGCCGGGTCTGGAATCTCTCCAGTCCCCATTGGCCAGCAACTCCCCAGGCCCTCCCCTCAGGGGAAATCCTGGCTGAGGGATCTCTGTGCCCCGCCCCACTCCTCTGGGTTCGTTTTAAGAGTGGGCCCCATTTCACGGTCCCATGTCAGGACCTCCTGGGCCTGGTTCTGTGGCTCAGGACTGCCCCTCGGCTCCTGCAACAGGTCCAGCAGCCCAGGCACCTGGCCACACCTCCCTTGGGTATCTGTCGCCTCCTGGGGTTGGTTGGGTCCAGATTGGGGCGGGATGGGGGCTGAGAGCGGAGGTCCCAATCTTGGAAAGGGTCACCCGTGATGAGACGACCTCCCCGCCCTCCCCCCCGCCCCGTTCCAAAGGGCATCAAACCCACCCCCACCCAGGCCAAGGGCTCAGAGGACAGCAGGCTAACCAGGATGGCGTGCACAAGGCCGGGGGCGGGGGCACCTCGAGGGGGCGACTCAGAGCAAGCAGAGCTAGGAGCCCCCTTCCCCGGGTCTCCGAGGTCCCTGGATTGTCGTCTCCGCTCCCGCGACCGCCGCTGCGATTGGCGGAAA